CCCCCCCCCCCCCCCTTACTGTAGATGTTTCGTTATACCAAAATTGGACGCCCTCTTTCAGGACCCTTGCTAAAAGCCTGTTCAATCGTCATTTGAAAAGGCAAAAAGTTGCCCAAAGAACAATCCGTTTCCATATAGTTGATTCGCTTTAAATTAGGAGTGTACCTTTCTTTCGTTTTACACAGAAGACAAAATATGCTAGTACAAAAATGATTTAATCGTCATTTATTTAGCCACATATCTTAGTTGAAAATAGTATGGAAATCCTATTTTCTTACTAATTACAATTTCCATACTATGGATATAGTATGGAAATACTATGAATATACTATGGATTTAGTGATGCAATTGCAAATTCCATAGTATGGATTTCACTAGTTTTTTCCAGTGTACATCGCGACTTAACCTGCGACAACCTGCGACAACCTGCGACCAGGCCCTCGAAAATGACCTCTCCCCCCAAGAACGCCTGATCGCATAAGTGAAACACAAGTAATGATTGAACAGTTGAATACTTTGATATGCATATTCTAATAATTCTCATGTTATAATTCAACTGCAATTGATCCCAAATATAAATTTTTGTAATAATACTTTAGTTTGTAGAAACACCACGTAAATTTTTGTTTCCTAAAAAAAAAATTTTGTTCAATTTTCAATTTTTTTCTTTCAATTTTTTCCCATAAATTTTTGTTCCCTAAAAACTGCACCAACCCCTGTCGAATAAGCCTAAATCGTTGTCTTTGAACGAAACTGTTTTATTTTCTTCCATTTCAGGTAAAACATGGCCGTGAAACTCTCATCACACATCCGCTGGTTGTATTCCTTCTTGACCGCAAGTGGAGCATGTATGGCCGAAAACTATTCTACATCAAACTTTTTATATTTTTGATATTTCTGCTGTTCTTGACTGGCTACGTTATCATGGCAACGCCGAGCCAGGGAGGTACTGACGTGGACGGAGAATTGGTGAATTGCACCCTTAATGAAGATAGTGGGACTGTTGCATTTGACGTTTTCGTGGATAGTGGAAGATACGTGCTCCTTATCTTGGCTTGTCTTCATATTATATTTGAGGTAAATGTATGACTGTGTTTCCACTTGTTGTAAAATTCGAGAAATGAACAGAATGATATTATAAATTCTGGTCAAAAGAACGGAATTATATAATTTATACTGGATATCTTTATCAGTTCTGTCTAAATAGAGAGGCCCATTTGTATTAATAATGGACCATTTGTATTATAGACTAAATTTTGATCTAAACAAGTCTAGACAAAGATTTGACAGCAGCTTGAAAGAGCATCACAATATCAGTAATATTCCAAAGTTTCGTTGCGAAATGTTGTAAAATGTGGATAATATAGCCTTGCGAAGTTTGCCGTTTTTCAGTCATTTTCTATTACAAACGGGAAATTGACAGCCCCAAAGGGTATTGGGCTATCAATTCCCCCCGCGTATAATTCAAAATGACTGAAAAACGGCAAACTTTGCAAGGCTATATTATCCGTATTTTACAACATTTCGCAACGAAACTTTGGAATATTACTAATTTTGTGATGCTCTTTCAAGCTGTGATGAAATTTTTGTCTGGACTTGTTTAGATCAAAATTTAGTCTATAATGCAAATGTCCATTGTGGTGTTTCAACTCGGGTAAAGTTATTGAGACGATGCTATTCTTCTTTGGCTTGCAAGTTCAATACTGGAATAGTTAACCCCGCGATTCTAATTACAATTTTACTTCTTTCACTCTGTAGCTGTTCCAGATGGTCTATCAGCGATTGCATTATTTCACAGACTACACGAACTATTTTGAAGTGACGATGTATGTTTCCACTGTAGTTTATGTCTCTGCAGATTTCGATCTTTCCTTTGTCTCCGAATCTGACGTGCTGTCTGGTGCAAGGTAAGATTTACTTCAGAAGTTAGGAAGCCATCGAGCGATGCAAGGGTGTGTGTAGGGGGTGCGCGCACCCTCCCCCTTCCCTTATAGCCTTGGCAAAGGGGCGTGCAAACTTGATGCTGTAAAATTGGCGCCATATTTATACAGCAATATAAGCAAAACTTACTCAACTTCAGACATCATTTTCTCTTTGGCGTACCATCTAAAATATCTTCATTTTAGCATTATTTTACAGATAAAACACTGAACATACTTTTTAAGTTTGTTTGCTGCTTGAGAAACATAAAAAATTTAGAAAATTGAATATAGTCATATCCAAGTGGAAAAGTATATTCATTTAGTTTTGAGCGTATGTTACAAGAGATTGTCCTCTTAATATATGTCCAAGCTCCTACAACGTGTACTGTCAGGGACGCCGGAACGATGTGAAGGCAAGGGGGGCAGATTTTCGTGAAAGGGCACTTTTGAATTGATATATACTAAGAGATGTTTGCAAAACATCGGGAGTTGAACTTCGCCTAATCATGTTTTCTATTTATTGGGTGTGAGGGGGTTCTCCGCCAGGCGATTGTGCTATTCTTGAAGCTCGATGACTGCATTTCTTGCGTTTTCTGAAGCAAATTCGTAAAAGAATCGCACTAACATTTCTGACAATTCGCTATTTCGCCAAGGTAATCCTTTAAATTGAAAGGGCACCTTTGCCCCCCTTGCCCCTCCTGGTAAAGGGCAACGGGAGCGGCTGCCCCTCCTGCCCCCCCACCCCAGTTCCGGCGTCCATGCACTTGTCTCCTTCCCGTTTGAAAAGGAATCTCGAACGGTCGGCGCCAGTGTATTATTAAATTGGTATAGCGAAGATAAAAAAGAAGACAGCTGTGGATTGAGAAAATATACCTGGAAAATGTATAAGCAGAAGTTCTACAAATATTTTTCAGGTTGTTGTATCTCTCTGAATTCGCACCTGTCTACCGGGAAAACAAACGTTGACAAGTATAAATGACGCAACGATTCGTCTAAACCAGATCTAAACGTACTTCAATCTAATGTACTTTCTAAACTGTTTTCCTAAAAATAAAATCAGAGCGATACGTGTACATAATGATACGCTCTAATTATGTTGCAAAATAACGGTCCAAGATTTCCAGTATTTGTAATGTTTAACTATATTGGTTTTACTCAGAGTTAAAGCCAAACTTTTCAAGTTCCGAATCAGGCCTCTGTTAAGCCCAAGTCAAACGAGAATGAAACTTGATGAGGGTTACAACGGACATTTTGAGCTCTAGATTAAAAATAATGAATTGTTTGATGAGTGTTCCTACTACATTTCATATTAATGATAATGTTAGGAAAATATGACAGCTTGACCAAGATCATGTGACTGGCAACTCTAGCTCATGCACCCAAGGGCGAAACTAGCCCCTTTTAATGGGGGGGGGGGGGGGTTTGCTAGAATTGCCCTGCGAAAGCCGATGATGCCCTGCATCCTACTATTTCTCCCAACAATGTTGGCGAGCGGAGGGAGGTCGAAATAATTTTTCCGGACATTTAAATTAAGGGTCAAAAATTTTTTTCAGACAAACCCCTGTTAAAACATGTATGAATGAAACCCTTATTTTTTTACCAATATCTGTAAAATTTAGGTCTATAAATTCTATTGAATTCCCTCTGGAAGCCCCGGAAGCTACTTAATAACTCTACATTCTATCATTTAAAATCTTTCATTGCCCTGCCAACCAGATTATTTGCTCTGCCAATTCAGATGATTTGACCCCCCTCAAGTTTCGTCCCTGCATGCACCCTCATACTCGTTTCATCCGGGCTTTACTGAAAGCTATGCTGAAAGATATATGAAATACTTTTTTTTTTTTTTAAATTAAGATATAACAAAAATTAAAGAAATGGGCTATAATACGTATACAGGACGTTTTTAAATCAACTAAGTTTTACGATTTGCTCGAAACATCGAATTATTCATAGTAAAACACATGCAGTTCACCGATCCCGAAACCATGGCATGGCAGCTAGCTTATTATACAGAACACCACAACCTATACATACAATGGCAACTATATATAGTATATAACATTGCAGACATCCGGCCGAAGTAGAATATTTACAATGACATAGCCTGATCGCCCGCATTTAAGAAAGGGAATTGAAATATGTCCTAGTGATACTCCGTGCCACTACAGCTGCATATTAGCTAGCTATTTCCTTTCTACTGGACTATTTCATCCTTTAGATACTATTTACAGTTCTAATCCAAAAGAGCGCCCCACTGGACTACGTGAGGACAATTACAATTATCCTCGAGCCTCTCGACATTTTTGGCGTATATGACGCGTCCATATGTACTGTGCAGTTTCGGTTGATAAACAATTAAACAATTAAACATTAAGGCGCACTCCCGATCAAATTTTACAAATACACACCGGTCACGAATTCTTTTTTGGCCTGGAAACTCACATGAATCAAGACGGCAATCTTCGCCTTCCACGTCTTGACAATCTCGTTCCCAGAGCCTGCGATCCTCGGGAAGGAACGCGAGGCTCTGGGATAATCCGTTGCCGGAAGCCAGGAATCCTGGCTAAGATTGAACTGCGCATTCCATATCAACGGCCAATCAGATTCCTCCCTGAAACGGATTATCCCAGAGCCTCACGTTCCTTCCCGAGGGTCGCAAGCACGGGGAACGAGATTGTCAAGACGTGGAAGGCCGGCTCTTCGCTCATGATTCACGAGATTCTCGGACTATCTAAGAAGTGATTTTTGACGTACAGTGGCATCGAAAGAGTGTGTTTGGTCACTAATTGCTATCTAAAACAGGGACCGCGGAGACGGGGGGGCTGGGGGGGCTTTAGCCCCCCCCCCACTTTTCTTGACAGCCAAAATTATTAAAATAGAAATCTAAATGAAACTTTCTAAATTAATTAAACCTCACCCTTTAGCCCCCCCACTCTCTAATACGCTCCGCGGGCCCTGTAAAAGTACAATACATAGAAAGTGCAACGCTCCGACGAACGTGTTCATCATCGGAAAACAATTTAATTATACCTGAAACATAGGAATTTGCAACTGTGTGATCTACCACAGAATTAAGTTTAATCTTCGTTCAAAAGAATATCGAATATCGAGAGGCAGCGAGTTCCAAACTGCATGCTGTTCATGATGTCAACGGCATTGATATGCATGCTGCGAAATTTTGGTAGGTTATGAGAGTACCAATATTGTTCCTTGTGTTATCGGGATGAATTTTAGATCTTTCTTTAAACATTCTTAGCTAACCAAACAGTGGATCTACTTGCTCCAAGTTGTATTTGGGAGCAATCAGGGGAGCAATACTAAAAGGGCGCGAGAAAATGGGGGGATTTAAAGAGGGCGGGCAGGCGGGCTGTGAGAAAATCGGGAGAGGAAATGGCACCATAAAATTTCGCGCAATGACCTTTTAGTTCCTTCATAACTCCCAAATAAAAACGCGAGTTTGACAAGCAGGGTGATATAAAAGAGTGATTAAAGTTAATCAGAATTAAGTGCAAATGGCATCCAATAAGAAGCGCGTATTTGAGAGTTAATCACTATTTAACTACAAAATAGTGATTAAAAAAGTGATTAAGAGTTTTATACAACCAGCCTCAGACTTGTAAGTCACTTCGCGAGTATGTGGAGAATATGGGCTGGCCGGAAACGTAGAAATTGTGAAGAATAGTTAGTTGGGGGAAAACGTGGAGAAATTTGTGAAGAAGTGGAGAATAGTGGCTGGGGGAATTCGATTTTCAAAGAATTGAACTCAGATGATATATTCAAATTGAAAATATGCACAAATTGGTTAACAATTTCTACTCCGTAAGTATTGTTATATTGGCCACGCCTTGCACATCGTAGTACTAGCCGCTTCCGAAAAAGTGCTAGCTTAATTATTAATAAACTAGCTTTTTAAGGCCGTCAGAGTTAAGCGGCCAATAATTTCCATTTGCACAAGCAAAACACACAAAAGAACTAATAAAGTGTGAAAGCAATTCAGATTTATTCTTGACCCCCCCCCCCCCTGCTTTTATAGCAGAAATCACCACATTTTGCCCTATTTTATTTTCACATGAATGTTGATGATTTAGGCATCAAATATTTTGCGGTGACTTTTGTTGGGAAGCCTCACATATCGATTTTTTCCACGAGAAACGTCATATGTTCGTTTGGGGGTGGGGGGGTTGGCAGCTGTGACGTTTCTCTGTAAACAACATGGAAAAAATCGATAGTTTTTATCTTTGCAGAGTATAAAAAAGAAAACAATTTGATACAAACAGCAGTCTATATATTCGTAATACCATACCTGTTCTATACCTATACATTTATATTATTACGCCTTCCTTGCATTGAAAACACTCAAATTTCAAGAAAAATGCGCTAAAATTATCAATATTTCATGCAAAAAAGTTGTTTTGAGAAAGGTTGGAAATTTTGAAGTTCATATATATATTAAGAAAAAAAGAGTATGTCAGCAGAAGATGACATATTCCTCGCGGAAGCATCGCCAATAGCCGACCGAAAAAAATAGTAGAAAATTACCTTATGTGTACTATAAGAACAAAATATCGATAACTATGTGTGACGTTTCTAAGGGGGGGTGGGGGGGTCTCCAGAGAAACGAACATATGACGTTTCTCATGGACAAAATCGATATGTGAGGCTTCCCTTACTCGTCCGCGGAAAGAACTACCACCAAATTCCTTACCAAAACCTGTTTCGGCGCGACCCGATTCTTATCGTAAATTTCGTGATAAAGCAGTGTGCTGAACACGTTTGCTGTCTTGAATTTTTGTTAATTCAGTGTACTTTAAATATACGTAAAAGGTGTGTCAAAACCCTTAGTTTTTAAATTCGGCAGTAACGTCGTAGGTTGCCCTGATAGTTTCGGTGACGCAGAGCAAGCGCATTTCACCTCTAAGATCGTGGGTTTGAGTCTCGCTATGAAGTGTGGACTCATGTGAAAAGAGTTTGTCAAACGCTCCACCA